CTGTGACAGCGAGTCTTGTCACTCAGAAGGACGTTGCTTTCTTCTCTGTCAAAAGATCGTAAACAAATCATAACGCAAATGCATATGGAACTATATGATTAATCAGCACAAACATATGCTGATAGGCTTTTGGACTGGCTTGCAGCATTAAATAATATCAATAACGCGCCTTTGTCAATATTTAATTTATAATTTTACCTTTTTACTTCAATTCTACAGCTTGTTCCAAATAAACTGGTTTCCACTTCATCTTTCTCTATTGCCACTTCCACAGCCTGGCATAAATAAATCACCAGAAGAGGAGAAAATGACACAGCGCCGCGACCCGAGCATCTGAACGTCACGTCCAACACGAATGCCTGAATTTCGTGAATTAATTCTGAATGAGGAAATCGAACCGCTTCCGAACGTGCCATTCACAACTGTAATGGTGGTGGCGGCAGTGGTGTTGGTGGTAGTGGTGATGGTGTTGGTGGTGGTGGTGTTGGTAGTTGTGGTAGTGGTGGTGGTGGTGGTGGTAGTAGTGGTAGTGGTAGTGGTAGTGGTGGTGGTGGTGTTGGTGGTGGTTTTGGTGGTGGTAGTGGTAGTGGTAGTGGTGGTGGTGTTGGTGGTGGTAGTGGTGGTGGTGTTGGTGGTGGTAGTAGTGGTAGTGGTGGTGGTGGTGGTGGCAGTGGTAGTGGTAGTGGTAGTGATGGTGGTGGTAGTAGTAGTGGTGGTAGTGGTAGTAGTAGTGGTAGTAGTAGTGGTAGTAGTAGTGGTAGTAGTAGTGGTAGTAGTAGTGGTAGTAGTAGTGGTAGTAGTAGTGGTAGTGGTAGTGGTAGTGGTGGTGGTGGTGTTGGTGGTGGTGGTGTTGGTGGTGGTGGTGTAGGTGGTGACAGTAGTGGTAGTGGTAGTGATGGTGGTAATAGCGGTGGTGGTAGTAGCATTGGTGGTGGTGGCAGTGGCGGAAATGATGATGGCATTGAAGAAGGGGAAGAAGAAGAAGAGAAGATGACATTTAGGAAAAAATAACAAGTAAAGAACCAGAGAGGAACGTGATTGCCCCGGGAGGCCGCCAACGAATTTGAGTGAATGGCAGCGATTGGGCCATCCTTTGGCGAGAGGCGTCGCCGCGAACTAGTGACGGAGTTCCCACGCTAAGGAGAGAGGACTCCCTTTTCCTTCCCCTCGGCCGCCTCCCCCTCCCCTCCCCCTTCCCCTCCCCTTAGCCTCTTCAACTTGTCTTTGTGAACAAGTTTCTGCCGTCATTCTGGATAAACTTTAGGAGCGTTTGAAGTCCTGTTTTTATATGAATATGCACATGGAGACATAACTTGTAGTTCAGATAGTATTATAACATTTCATCCTTTTCTGGTGACACTTACAGTACGCGTTTATCTTAAATGCTTACGTACAATCATGTCTATTACTGATAAAATCACTACATATACTGTATATGAGTGTGTGTGTATTATACACTACATTGCATATTATATATAGTATATAATATATATATATATATATATATATATATATATATATATATATATATATATATATATATATATATATAGACATATATATATATATATATATATATATATATATATATATATATATAGACAATATATATAGTATATATGTATATATTAAATATATATATATATATATATATATATACTATATATATATCATATATATATATATCACATATTATATATCTCTGTCTGTATATCTATATATTATCTATATATCTATTATATCTAATATATCTCTTATCTATATATTATATATAGACACATCTCTATATATGTATGTATGTCTCTCTACTATATTATCCTTATCTCTATCTATCTCTCTTCTATATCTATCTATATCTATCTCTCTGTCTCATCTCTCTCCTGTCTCTCTTTGATCTCTCTCTATCTCTATCTCTATCATCTCTACTCTCTCTATCTCCTCTCTATCTCTCTATTCTCTCTCTCATCTCTATCTCCTCTCTCATCTGTCTCTATATCTGTCTCATCTCTCTCCTGTCTCTCTCTCTCTCTCTCTCTATCTCTCTCGTCATCTCTCTCTATCTCTCTTCTTCTCTCTCTCTATCTCTCTCTCTATCTCTCTCTTGTATGTCTCTCTGTCTCTCTCTCTCTCTCTCTCTCTCTCTCTTCTCTATTCTCTCTCTCTCTCTCTCTCTCTCTCTCTCTCTCTCCCCCTCTCTCTTCCTCTCTCTCTCTCTCTCTCTCTCTCCTCTCTCTCTTTCTCTCTTCTCTCTCATCTCTCTATTCTTCTCTCTCTCTATCTTCTCTCCTCTTCTCTCTTTCTTTCTCTCTCTTTCTCTCTTCCTCTTCTCTCCTTCTTCTCTCCTCTCTTCTTTCCCTATTCTCTCTCTCTCTCTCTATCTCTCTCTCTTCTCTCCTCTCTCTATCTGTCTCCTCTCCTCTACTCTATATATCTTCTCTAATCTATCTATCTATATCTTCTATCTATATCTATATCTATATATATATATATATATATAATGAAATGTTCGCCCAGCTTCTTCGATTCCAAATTATGTACGTTTGCAGTCTGCAGTCCAAAACAATTTGTAAGAATGACAATACGAGAAAATTGTGTTATTCTATGTCACGCTAGCGTAAGAGAAGTAATTGCATCTCTTTCATTGTGACCAACATTACATCTTCATTGTTCTTATACATCATCATTTTACAGTTATCAATACGTTATTCCACACATACAAGGGCGTTCGTATACGTCTGTGTTTATAGAAACATGCGGATATCTGTTACAAAAGGGATG